TTATGGGTTGCATTGTTAAAGCAAGCTAAGTATTAGATTACTTGGTTATTCTCTTTTTTTGCCTAGTAAAGATTTCTCGATTATGACTTTACGTTGTTTAAACAAAATTAACACTAATTTTCCTCTAATTTTCTTTCCCTTGTCATTTCTTTATTAGCTTTTATTAAATATACTCAAAAAATAAAATAACTTAAATCACCTTTCTCATTCTTTTTAATTTTCTTTTATATATTTAATGGCAAATAGAGACTTTTAATCAGTTGGGACTCCCTTTTTTTTTTGGAGTGGGGATTGGTTAGGCTGGCTGGTTGGGGGCTGGGACTTTCATCTCTCACCGCCGGCCCACTCGCAAAACCCTGCGCTATTATTAATTATTTCGTAATAATTATTAATTTTAAATATAAAAGGAGGCACACACGACGCAAGGCACCCCATACCATTCACAAGAAGTCGTAGAAGTTGAAACAAACCCTAGAGCAGATGGGTACGCTGGAGAAACGTGTTGTGAGCGCTGCTGATTTCGAGGATCCAGAGTATGTTAACTCGAATCGAAACCCTTCCTTTTGTTTCGTGAAAATCTATCCTCTTTTTTGTACTACTATATATTTTGATCTAAGGATGATTGTTTGTGTTTCTGGGTGTGTGTCGGGCTCGTGGCTTTCTTAGCAGCTCATATTTGGTATTGTATTGTAAAGTAGGATCTTCATGTCTATTCTCTAACTCTAACTTTAACCCTAAATTTCAGGCAAAAGAAATTGAAAATAGATGACGGCAGCTCTAGCCCCAAGCAAAACAAATCTGATTCATCAGACTATGATTCCGATGCCGAATATGTTCGGTTTCACAATCAGTTAGCCGAGAGTGATGTGAGTTTTTTCTCTCTCTTTTTCTTACATGTTAGTCTTCAAATATTTTCTAGCTGACATTATTATATACCTGATTTCATAGGGCTTTGATGTGGATGCCAAGCTGCCTGAAGACGTAATGTCTCTCTTTGGTGTTGTTGACATCAACAAAATGTCAGCTAAACGGCGTCAGGAATGTGATGAACTTGCGAGGGAGGCCATCAAGTTCCATAACCTTTACAAGAAGCCAGAGGTTTAATTCTCTTCTCTTACCGTTCTATTTATTTATTTTTCAAAGATTATTTACCTTTTTTTTTGTTTTGTTGTTGTTGTGCTTTGTTGATCCAGATTTGCAATCTGGATCTGGAGTTTGTGAAGCTTTTGAAGCTTAACTTGCAGTATCGAATTTCTCCTCGTGGTGGGTTGTTTTTCCTTACCTTTGAAGCCAAGGATGCCAAAGATGGTTCAATTCATTGCTATCAGGCCAAGGTTTTTACTCGTTACACCAAGGACGGCAGAATCCCTGAGGTCCAAATGATTAGGAAGAAGGGCGATAGTTATTATATTGGCAAAGGTAAATTGGTATGATTTTGGATTAGTTATTATGATTTCCTGTATTGCTGATTATGGGATGCAAGGATTTTGAATTAGATAATATAACATAGATTTTCATTATGATCTTGTCCTATTCATGCTAAGGTAAGAAATGATGGGTATGAGGCCATATGTTTTTTAGGGGTCTCTGATCTGTCTCAAAACGTATTTGGAACTTAAGCACCTTCTTCAATTGATCTTTCATGTCTTACATATATAGCTCATAGCTAAAGAAAAGTAGCAAGTAGAGGTGGGCATTTGGGTGGGTAACCGAATGGTTACCTGAAAATCGAACCAAAAAAATGAATTTGGTTTGATTTTAATGGTTTTTAAGTTTTATTGTTTTGGTTTTGATGTTAACCAAATAATTTTGGTTCGAATTTGGTTGAATTTTTTACAAACCGAAAACCAAAAATGAGCCTCTTAAAAACTAAAATTTGGATAAATATGACAAAATATGATAAAATATGAGATAAAATATAAATTATTATTGAAAAAAATTGATTAATATTTATTTAGTAAAAACCAAAACCGAATTGATTTTATTGGTAATTAAACCAATTAATTTGTAAAATTTTTGGTTCGATTTTGGTTCTCAAAATTCAAGAAAAAAAATTTCAGTTATTTTAAAACCGGTTTTTGCCCACCACTACTAATAAGTACTCTTAGAATGATTTGTACCTGCTAGTTGATTATGCCTTTCTATTTCTTTCTTTTTTTGTATCTCGATAGATCCCAAGCGAGGTGGACCCTGTGATGATTGCGAAGGAGGGGAGCCATGCGGCGGCTGTTGATTGAGTTTTATGTTGATTTAAGTTATAGGCAAGAAAGCAAGGTAGGTTAGCCATTCTCAAAACTAATAATTGCTTTGATATACAACTAAAACAGCCTACCATTTTATACTAGTATTTGCAAGCTAGATTTGTATTGTAAATTTTGTTTGGTGGCAATTCTTGTTTACAAACATCTCTTTCTCTGTTTGGAATAATTATTTTCTCAATCACTTCTCTGAGTTTTACCTCGAGCTAATCTTCTTGACTCTCCATATATTGTATATTCTTTTCCACAATTGATAGGTTAAAATGTGGCATAGTTTTTCTTTCTTATGATTGAAAGTGCTCTTTCTGTTGAAGCACACAAAAACCAGGATTGTGCACTAGCCACTAAAGAAAACAGTTTAGGTCCAATTGTTTGCATGAGATGCATCTTAAAGACTGAAGTTCTCATCTGAGGACAAATGAATCGGGATCAAATGGGATTTATATAAAGTTTTTCGGTCTGGAATCCAAGAGCAATTAAGTTGAGGCGGGATGACTTAACTTTGCTCATCGGCACATCTAAAGTTTTTTCCTTTTTGAAGCCAAGAGTAATTATGTTGAGGCAGGACAAAGCAGCATTAGCATAGGCACAGATAAGGATTTTCCTTTTTGAGGTTGACTGTATTTAAATTGAGGCAGAATGAAGTATGACATTATCTATATGCACATTTGGCTGCCAAATGCTTCTTGCTTATACTCTTCTTATCCATCCTTTTTATTCTTGTTGAGCAGCTCCTACTGACCCTATTGGCAATTAGCATTGAAAAAGTGAACTCATTAGGGGAAGGCATTTCATTAGGGTGAGAAAAGGGTTTCGTGTTGTACATCACTTATAATTTACTAACGAAGGTATCAAATGTGCAGGAGCTGTTTAGCTGTGGAAATAAATATAAGGCCAGATATAAAATTAATGGTTTGGTAATATCATGTCTTGCAATGATGCTAAATCCTAGTTGTGCTAGTTGGCTATGGCCATGTTTAATTATAAATGGATTAGCAATCATGTGTTTGCTTTGGTTATACTGTAATAGCAAGAATATTTTCTCAAAATGATGCACATTTATTCTTAATCTTCAGTCCAATATGTATGTGTTTACTGCTTTCAAAATATATACACAGGTATTTGAGTAGTTTTCACACTCTTGTTTTCAATAAAAATCATCTTATGTTGTAATGTTCAATATTCTAAACATACATTAATTTACTGTGATATTTAGGCTTTTTTTTTTTTAATAGTAAAAAGTAATATTTATTAATAAATGGAGTACAAGGGTACCTTAAACCCATAAACATTATAACTTGAAAGGCATCATATTACATGAATGGAGTAACTCTTTCGTATAGTGTCGATTCTTGAATTATGTGTCAACCCTACATCCGTGGCGGAGTTTTAGATGTTTACCATATGGTGTTGACACCAAAATTATGTGTCGACACTATACCAGTGTCGAATTTTTGTCCTCTTTCGCAGTTTCTTCATATGAACTCATCAATATTAATCCCATCTTTCAGATCATTTTTACTTATCACACACTGCAAGATTGAATAACACTTGGCTTTCTTGACATAATCATGTAGAAATAAAAGTGAAAGTAAAGAACCAGATGTCGTTAATCAAGGAAATTGTAGTAAGTGTAATATAATACACTAATAATTATTAATTTTTATCAAGTACGTAATTTTTTTTTTTTTTTTACGTATATATTTTTACAGATTGTTGCTGGGCAATTGCGGCGTGCAATATTATTAGTTTACTTAATAAAAATTAAAAACTCTGTGCAGAACTAAAGCATTGTACGGTCACAATTGCCCAACAACCCTATGTAAAAAAATATAAGCAAAAAAAAAAAATTACATGATAAAAATTAATAATTATTAGTATATTATATTACACCTACTATAAGTTCTAATTAGCGACATCTGGTAAATTACATTCTGTGGACGTCAATCCACAATTGCCTAAATATCACAGTAAATTAATGCATGTTTAGAATATTGACAATCCCAATTATCAGTACTGAAATTGTTTTTTTACTAGCAACATAAGGTGATTTTTATTGAAAACAATAGTGTGAAAACTACTCAAATACATGTGTAAATATTTTGAAAGACAAAAGACATTCAAAACAAGTGCAAAGGTACTTAAATCATCTCACACACTATTTATCTTTCAGACAACCGTATAAGTTTCTTTCCACAATATAACAAGAAAGTTCCAAGCAATCTATGCTAGCCCCTGCTTAACAGCTTACCCTACATTCCAAACAACTTTTGATGCATCCCTCTGGCTTGCTGCACCATTCAGCAAATGTGAAGGCTTCTCGTCCTTCTCCCTAAAATCCAGTGAAACATTCTTGCTGGAACGAAACCAAAACTATTTTCCAAATTAACATCTGCAATTCTAAATGCATTTTCATTTTTAATTAGCTATGTTGTCCACACAACTTGCGGGACTAGTTGGAAGGAAGGAATTCAAGGAGGCGTGGATTGTGGCATGGTTTGCAGTATTATAATATATATGGATTTGGAGAAAGAAAGGAGTTTTTAGTAATGCTAAAGTGAAAGCAGAAGTTTTGGAGCTTGTTAAATATAGATCTTTTTGTTGGTTGAGGGCAAACTTGTCATTGGAGCTGTGGAAATCGGACCGAAGGCTAGCTTTGAGGAGGTGACACTGTGTCCTTACAACTGTAATGGGGGATTCTACATAGCTGGGGGTTGTGTTTAATGTTTATTGGTAATGTTTGTGACTAGCTAGTGGCTGTAATTAAGTACAAGAACAACTATATGGGTTGGATAGGGCCCTTGCACCACCTCCCATTCCCATGCTCAGTTTTTTTTCTCTCGCACACCTTACATGCTGCACAAAGGTCTCTCTAACAGTGCAGTGAAAAACAAAAAAAATTACTCAAATATCGAAGGGTAAAGAAGAAAAATAGGGTCCACTACCTATTTTCAAAAAAAAAAAAAAAGAAGAAAAATAAGGCCAAAGCACAAAACAGCAACCTAACTAGCTACTTAACGTGGGTTTAGTGTTTTTGGAGGAATAGGCCACGTGGATTAAGGCACCATGATATACATAAAACTTACCATTCTTTCAAGTGCCGAAGTGCTCTAGTGCTTAAGTGCGCAGTGAATGAAGGCATGATGGACGCTAGGTTCTAAGTGGGAAGTTATGGTGTTTAAAATTCTGTAACATGGTTTGGGAAAAGGAGAGGCAGTTTTTGTTGTTTGTTAAGTAAATGGGTTAGGGCAAGGAAATAAAAATTGTTTGGCTTAAAAAAAAAAGAAGTGCGCAGTTGAATGGTGCTAAGCACTACCAGAGAGAACATGCCTTTGGTATGTGCCTTTATATTAAAGGCTTTCTAGGGTAAAGAGGATAAATATTGATTCCTCTAGTCTAACCTGCAAACTCGCCCTTTTTTCTGTTCAAAAGATAAACCGAAAAAAATTTTTTTTTTCTACCTAACCGTTGATCTTGTATCAATGCCAAACATTGATTTTTCTAACCTGCAGATCTCCTTTCTGTGCGGGAAATCTGCAAAATCCCAATAAACATGAACACATCTGACCACATCTCCTTTTGTACGGGAGATGCAAAGATTAGTTTCTTGTCAGATATAAGGACGAATCTCCACATCATCCTTTCGGACACCCTTTGATGATATTCATGCAATGTGTGTATGGCTAACATGATGGTGGTAACTTCTGTTGTGTAGTAGTACCATCAGACTAGGAGTACCATGTTATCCTACAATTTAATTCTCCATTCAGCTTTTTGACTACAACCATTATTACACTCTCCTCTCTTTTCATCTATGAACCACTTCCCAAGACCCTCCTCTGGACGATTCTCTTATTTCTTTTTCTTTTCTTTTTTTTTTTTATTCCTACTCCAAGTCCAACCCATTATTACACTCTCTTCTCTCGTTTCACTAGAAATTAAAAGAAAAATAATTAATATTTTTTTTTCAACACACACCTTAATATTTATCAATTTAATTATTAAATTATATAATGCTTAATTTTTGTCTTTAATTTAAATTTTTAAAAAATAATGTATTAGTGAGTGTATTATAATGAATGTTAAATAAAAAAATACTAATTATTATCCAAACTAAAAACTAACTCCTCAACATTTTTCCTACACTGAACTCCGGTAAATTTTATTAATAGAGGTAATGCAATGGAAATATATATTCTATAGTCCTTGTTACCTTAGTTGGGACATAAATTACAGGATAAGTACATCTTTAGTCACAAACAGCCCGGAAACAACTTGAGATCAGTGAAAAATTTGCCCACACATAGACTGGTAGTCATAAATGTACATGTCTCTTAGGACTATCTTTGTCTTCATCTAAAACATACTCTTATTTTTTTTTTTTAATAAATTTAGTTTGATTTTATAATTTTTTAAATATAAATTTTAAATAAAAATTTAATATATTATATAAATAATAATTTAAAATTTTTTATCAAATAAAAGTATTCACAAATAGTGCTAGTGCTGGGCAGGGAGAGCTGAATTGGGACGATTTGAAGAGTTTTTTCGACTTCCGAGCTTTTTTTTTTTATTCTCTTGCAGTACTCGCCCTTTTCCATTTTTGCTTAGATGATAGGAGAAGAATTAAACTCTCATATCAACCACCAGCATAAATTTTCTTTAACGTACCACTAGTGTAGTGGTAGTAACTTTTCTTTGCCTCCAGATAATTAATATTCTTAATCTTAGTGCATTGGAAATCTGAACATTTTTTTGTTCTTCATGTTCAGAGCTGGGGACGAATTACCCTATGCACCTCACCCTTCCGTATAGCTTGGTTTAAAAAATTTCATGAAAAAAGAGATGTTCTGTAGTTTCTGAATATTTCCCAGCAGCAAATGCAGGTTTCCACACAGAAATTCTTTGGCTGTGCATGTATTTAGCCTTTACGCTGAGGAGCTCTGTGCTGGCTGTTTAGTACCAGTTTAGTGCAGTTAGAGTTTTTAATAAAAATTTTGTCGAAAAGAAATTGTTGTAAAAATGTTGCTTTTATAAATAAAAATAAAAATAAAAATAATATGTTAATTTTATTAAAATTCAAATGAAAAGTTCTAGTAGAAATACTATTAAGTATTTTTGAGATTTACAATGAAATGAACAAGAATGTGAGAAATTATAATAATTTTTACAAATTATAGTATTTGGTACAATTGAAATTTTTAAAATCCAAAAAAGCTTCCCACCACCTGTACCAAACATGCTAAAACAATATTGCATGGGCTTCCACGTGAAAGGCTTCATCATACCACTTTGATGCTAAAAATGATAAACAACTTTGTGTAAATATTCATTCAACTCTACACTCAATCTGTTCCTTAAAATATAGGTGATGTTTTTGTGCCCTTCATCACACCATTTTAATGTTAAAAATGATTATCAAATGTTGTATTACTCCATTTGACCTAAAAACTGCTATTTTCCTAACTTTTTTACAAATTAAAATTTTAAAAATAACTTACCTATTTACTTATATTTAGTGCTGTAAATAAGCCAAGTCAAAAAATAAAAAGGCACCAAACATATATATTGGACTTAAGATTAGCAATAAAGGTGCACCATTTTGAGAAAATCCTAATACTCTTACAGATGAAATTAAAAGTAAACACATGATTGCTAATGCATTTATAGTGAAACATGCCAACAACCAACTAGCACCACTAAGATTTAACACCATTGCAAGACATGGTATTACTAAACTATTAATTTTAAATCTGGCCTTATACTTTGTTCCATTGCTAAACAGTTCTGCTGTCCATTTGAAACATCTGTTCGTAAATAAAACGTAACTTATAACACCAAACTTCTTTTCCCTCCGATGGAACAGCCAAACATTTATCAATTCAAGTATTCATTGCCGCTTGCCAGTTGGGTCAGTTGGGGTTGTTGAAGAAGAGTAAAGGAATGGATATGAAGAAAATAAGCAACAAGAAATTGGTAATCAAATGTACCTACAGATAATGTTACCTCACTCTGCCTCAATTACTTTAAGTTTGCAAAAAGGAAAATGTCAAAAAAAGTCTAGATTATCGGGGAATCAAACATTCACCTGGGATGGTGTTTTCACTAAAAGTCTGTTTGGTTACCCTGGATCTCAAAAAAAGAATCTAGGATAGTCTACCAAAAGAACAATGCAATACAAAAATCGAAGTACAATATAATTAATTATAATGAATTATGTGCACTTGGTCCTAGAGGCCCAATGACACTAGTCATTGAAAAGTGCATTTCTTTCTCTTCTGGGTAGGTTTCGAACCCGCCCCCATGTCAAAAAGTTCAAAAAATATATATATAATGAATTATGTAAGTGATTATATGCATATATACTTGATTACAAAAGAATATATAATTGATTATAAAATATAATTGTTTATTTTCAAAAGGTAAACGATTATGATCACTTTCTACTTAAAAAAATCTATAAAAAAAAGTTTTCTGAAAGAATTGACATATAATCATTTACACAATCATTATAAGCAATTATATTATAGATCAATTTTCATGCTAGGAAAATTATTTTACTAAGCTAAGCCGAACTGCCTTTTTTCTCAGCTACCTAGATTATATTTTCGGGATTTGTGGTAAATAAACATGCCCTACTAAAGGCAAGTGTCTAACCACTTGGTCTAGACGTGTGAAACACTCAGGTCAGGCTGCATTCAAACCAGTACCACCGTACCAGTAGCAAATTAGGACTTAACCAAGAGAAAAGGTCACAACAACAGTAACTAAAAAATTAATTATGATAAAAATAAAATCTCCAAGGTATAATGATAATCTGCATAAGTTGAGTAAAGATTAATAATTAAGCGTGCCATAATAGGTCAGAATATGAACATAATAATAAAGTTGTCCAACTAATCGTCTCCACATATACTTTGACTACTAAATAGTCAATTCCCAGTTTTCTTCTTCGATGGTACTAAATATATCCAGATTACTTACAGGAGACACATCCTTCGAACATTTCTGTTGAGACTCCGCACTAAGTTTGCAAAACACCTGCAAATAACAAAAACAACATCATAAATATCTAATGCATTGAACTATTATTTATACTGCATTTTAAAACCAATCAATTTAAATACAACAACGAAAAAACAAACCCCATGCGATCTAAACAACTATTTATACTAGCTTACACTAGTACCCAACAATCCTAATTACACTCTACGAGTTGAAATGGAAACTGCAACAACAGCACGTCGCAAGGATGCATAAAAAGAGAGGTGAAACTTAACACTGCCACGATTTTCTGTTGGATTTTGTGATTTGCTGATAAAAAAAAGGGCCTGGTATGCAGAACGCTGGACAATCCAGAAAGGAATGAAACGAAAAAGAAAAAAGCACCAAGCATATATATTGGACTTATGATTAGTAACAAAAGTGCACTATTTTGAGAAACTATTAATGCTCTTGCGGATGAACTTAAAAGTAAACACATGATTGCTAATGCATTTATAGTTGAACATGCCAACAGCCAACCAGTACCGCTAAGATTTGACATCATTGCAAGATATGGTATTACTAAACCATTAATTTTAAATCTGGCCTGATACTTAGTTCCATTGCTAAACAGTTCTGCTGTCCATTTGAAATATTTGTTAGTAAATAATATGTAACTTACAACACCAAACTTTTTTTTTCCCTCCGATGGAACAGCTAAACATTTGTCACTTGTCAGTTCAAGTATTCATTGCCGCTTGCCAGTTGGGTTAGTTGGGGTTGTTCAAGGAGGGTAAGGAATGGATATGAAGAGAATAAGCAACAAGAGTTTGATAATCAAATGTACATATGGGTAATGTTACCTCACTCGCTTTGCCTCAACTTAATCACTCTTAAGTTTCCAAAGGGAAAATGTTTATCTTTAGATCTCCAATTTGATCCCCAATTTACTTATCATTGTGTGAGAACTTCATTCTTCAACATGCATCTCATGCAAACAAATGCACCTAAACTGTTTTTATAATGGCTAGCATACAATCCTGATTTTGTGTGCTTCAATGGAAAGAACCCTGTAAATAATGAGGAAGAAAACCTATTCTATGTTTTACCCTAGCAATCATGGAAAAGCATATAGAATAAAAGGCAGGATAATTTTTTTTCACATATTCAGTTGGAGTTCCGGTAGGTACACCTTCAAAGAGCAATTCTTGTTCTTTTTCTTTGCTATGATGTTATTATTTGCTACCTTAGCAGACATAACAGATCAATTAAGGGAAGGTGTTTTCCAAATAAATTTGAGGCAGAACAAAAACCACAGAAAAAAAAAAAAGAAATAAACATTTGGATTCACACCCACCACTTCTTACCTTAGCATGAACAACATAGAAGAGCAAAATCATAATGCAACTTTATCTTATATTTACTAATTCAAAATCCATTCATTCCATGATCACTGATGCAAGAAATCATTCATGTTGAAACGGCAACTGTAATAACAGCATGTAACAAGAATGCACAGAAAAGAAAGGAGAAAACTCAACACCACCAGGATATCCTGCTGGATTTTGTGATATGATTATAAATAAAGGGCCTAGGATATAGAATGCTGGACAATCAAGAAAGGAATAAAAATAAAAGAAAGCACTAAGTGTATATAAAGATGCACCATGTTGCGAAAATATTCTTGCTCTTACAGTTCAACTTGAAAGTAAACACATAATTGCTACTCTATTTATAGTTAAACATGACAATCAACACCCAACTAGCACAGCTAGGATTCCACATTATTGCAAGAGATGATATTACTGAACTATTAATTTTTAAATCTGGTCTTATATTCAGTTCCATTACTCAACAGTTGTGCAGTCTATTTCATACGGTTGTTAGCAAAAAATAAGTAATTCACAACACTAACTTTTTTTTCCCACTAATGGAAAGCCTTCACTTTATGAGTTCAAAGTTTCATTTCCATTTGCAATAAGGGGAGCAGGAGCTGCTCAAGCAGAACAAGGGATGGAAATAACAAGAATTTAGTAGTCAAATGTGCCTATAGGTAATGTTATTCGTTCTGCCCCAACATAATTACCCTAGGGATCAAAAAGAAGAAACCTTAAATGTGCCTAAGGTCAATGTTACTTTGTCCTGACTAAACACAATTACTCTTGGCTTCACTTCAAAAAGCAAAAATTTGCCTATAGGTAGAGTTAATTCTTTCTTCCTTGACTTAATTAGTTTCCAAATAGAAGAACTCGACCTTATAATCAATAACTCCGCTTTGATCCACAATTTACTTGTCATCATGTGAGAACTCCAGTCTTTAACATGCATCTCATGCAAAATAATTGGACTTCAACTGTTTCTTAAATGGCTAGCATATAATCCCAATATTTCTGTGCTTCAATGGAAAGAACACTTTCAATCATGAGAAATAAAAGCTATTCAATATTTTACCTTATCAATCATGGAAAAGCATATACAATTAATGGCAAGACAAGAAGAGAAGTTCCAGTTAAAACTCTGAGAAGAAGTGATTGAACTGCCAAGATAGAGATAAACTAAAACTGAAAAAATTACTATTCCAAACAAAGAAAGAGATAACGTAAACAAGAATTTCTACTAAACAAATTTACAGTAAATATCTAGCTAGCAAATACCATTATTGTACGGTAGGATGTTGTGTGTCAATATTGAATAATATTTAGTCCAATTTCTAAAACAGTTCTGCTGTCAATGTGAAAAAGTTGTTAGCAAATAATAAGGGAGTTATAACACCAAAACTATTTTTTACTCTAAAAGAATGACCTTCACCTAATCAGTCAAATGATTCATAGCAATTTGCTAATAGGATGAGTTGGAGCTGCTGAAGGAGAGTAAGGGATGGACATGAAGAGTATAAGCAATAGGAATACGCTAATCAAATGTATAAGCAACAAGAATGTGATCCCCAATTTACTGGTCAACATGTGAGAACTTAACCATTTGAGATGCATTACAAGCAAACAATTGAACATATATTGTTCATTTAATAACCAGCAAAAGCATACATTCTTGAATGTTGTGTGCTTCAATTGAAAAAACCCTGTCAGTCATGATGGAAAGTGGAAAAAAAAAAAAACTATTCTAAATTTAACCATCTCTAACATCTGATTTTTGAGAAGTTAAAGCATAGAAAATCATCATAAATAATCAATGGCAAGATACAGAGAATTTCTGTCAAGGTCATCGTTAAATAAACAAAATCTCATTAGAAATATAGTATCAAAGCTCAAAGAAACACTCAACAAAAGAACAGAATGAACCATGAAGACAAAGAAATATTAAAACTAAGAGAAGTACTATGCAAAATAGAGAAAGAGATGCTTGTAAACAAGAGTTATTACCAAATGGATTTTATAATAGAAATGTAGCATTCAAACACTGCTGTTAAACGGTAGGATGCTGTATGTCAAAGCACTGGTTTTGAGAAGGTGCTCACAAAAGAAAAAAAGTTTTGAGAATGTCCAACATACCTTGCTCTTGGACGTGACATAAATCAATGTAAAGCTCAATTAACAGTTGCGTGGCTCACCTCCTCCAGAATCATCAGTCCATTTTTTATAGAGCTTGGGATCTATCAAGATTAACAAACAAACAAATAAATAAAAAGGCATAATCAGCTAGCTAGTACACCATCATTTTAAGATCAATTCTAGTCCTTAACTTTTTCTATAATGTTATTATCCTCCTTTTTGGATATAAGACATCAATTGAGGAAAGGGTTTAAGTTTAGACTTTAGACAGATTAAAAACCTTAAAAAA